GAAACCTGCCCAAAATGCCCATGTGGGTCTTCATCTCAGCGAAGTTGTCACCAAACCCATGGAGCGTATCTTCATCGATTTCGTGGGGCTGATAGTCCGGAGTCGGCAGGGGAATGTGGCCATCTTGGTTGTGTTAGATGGTTTCTCCAAATTTGTGGCCATGTACCCGGTCAGAAGGATCTCTTCCGAAGCAGTTGTCAAGGCCCTGACGGCCCCTCCTGTTTTGGTCTGCCCCAGACCATCGTTTCGGACAATGCCGCTGTGTTTAAGTCTCGCCGGTTTTATAACGCCTGTTTTTCTTGGGGGATTAAACACGTTACCACCTCTCCCTATTATCCCCAAGCCTCTCAGGTGGAGCGGTTTAATCGTAATTTGAAGGTAGCCCTTACCGTCTACCACCACTCTCAACATACCTTGTGGGACGAGAATCTCCCAATGCTGGCCATGGCGTTCAATTCGACCTGGCATGAGAGTACCAGAACCCAACCCGCCGTGCTTTCCCTTGGTCGNTAACCATCAATTGGGGTTACTTTGGGAGTTCTCGGAGCTGGACTTACAGCGACCCTCTGCGGATATGCGGGTATATTGGGGGACAGCCTTGCAAAATTTGAGGAAGGCTAGGGATAGGGTTGCCCGGCGCTATAACATGCTGAGCAGGGAGGCGGTGTTTCAGGTGGGAGATCTGGTCTTGGTACGTCTCCATCCACAGAGCTCCAAGGTGCAGAAAAGGTCCGCTAAAATTGATATGAGATGGTCAGATCCCATGGTTATTTCTAAGTACTTGACTAATGTCACTGTTTAGTTGGCTAATCCAGACACTGGAGTTATCTTATGTAAGGCTCATGTTTCTAAGTTGAATAAATATTTTGTTCGGGACTAACTTATTAGCCCCAAGTATGATTATCACCCTGTTAGCTATTATTTCGTATTGTGAGGGGTTCTACCCACAGTTCAATACTGGTTTTAGCTTTGTGTTCTTTATTTTTTTTAGGGGCTTCTAGCCAGTTTACCTTCTTCCATTTTTTCCTTCCTTTGGTGGCCGCCTGCAACTGGACGCCTCCATCGTACCCAGGGCCCGGGAGGTCGGAGGGGCTTACTCTTTCATCTACCTGGCAAGTGGAGGATCGCAAAGAAGGGCCTCCTGAGTTATGGACACCTGCGGACTGTGTTGTGCTGTGTTGGGGTAGTGTTGGTGCCGGTGCTCCGGGAGCGGAGAAGGAGCGGTAGCAGGGGATTTCGACAAGGTTGTGTTGCCATCTCTTGCACCCTAGTGTTCCACTCCCCTTGAGTTGTGGTGCTGTGGCGGAGGCAAGGACTTGGACTGAATTGTCGTTTTAGCTGCCTCCTTCGTATATATGATTATATCGAGAGCCCTTCACGTATCCCGAGCCCAGCTGCTTCCCAGCAGCCTTCCTTGAGTGCCAAGTTTCTTCTGAGAGGGAGGGGGCGATCCTGAGCCGATCCCTTCGGCTCATTGGTTGTAGTGCTCTCTCCAAGCGGCGGCAGCCGCGGGTCACACCGTTTTTCCCTACTTTTCCTACTACCTATCCTTATTCCGTGGCGTATTCTACTTCATCACTCCTCTATCCTTTGTGATTCAGCTGAGGCACCCGGTCTCTTCTGCCTGGAAAGAAATCGTGTACGGACGTCTCGCTCCGTAACTAAATTCTGTTTGGGTCGGCGCCATGAAAGATTCGGTTTGGTAGCTAAACTCCAGGCAGGAGGGCCCATCTCGAGGTAATGCACATAATATTAGCGTACTGATTATTGTTCTTGGAGGAATTGTGTAAGCTGAGAATGTATATATACGTTTTGTCTGTATTGTGTGTGCAGGCGATTTCAGAGATGGTATTACGCTAGCGTGAAGTTTGTTATTAAGTATGCCTTATATGTCGCTTGTGGCGGAGACAGCCTGTGTGAGTTGTGATAGGATATCTTGTGGCTGATTATGCCGATTAATTGTCTTGTTTTCTTTTGGCACAAATTACTGGTCATATGTTAAATGTTATTTGATTTTCTTGTTTACTTCTTGTTTTTTTCTTTTGAGTAATAGATAAGAGAACACTCGTTCCCCAGCTGGTGGGGCGGGGGCTCAAAGTAAATGTCAATTTCTTATCCCTGAGGCAATATTTTGGAGACGAAGGAAATGTGGGAAGTTGCTGACTGTGGTGACCCTGTATCTTCGTTGACAGATGGTAGCAGCAGTGAGAGTGTTGTCACTGATGAATAAGCAAAAGCCGCTATGATGAGGTGACGAGTTTTGGTGAAGAATGGTTTACTCCTGGGTATGTTAGAGGAACACAAGTGGTCCTAGTGACGGTGGAAATGATACTGCCAAACTCTACCAGCATTACGAGGTACCATGTACATCCGCAATTCCTCCTGCTGGAGTTAAATTAGTTGTTCTGTTCATTTAGTCTTGTTTGTCATGTATTAAATTTTGGTTTCTGAAAAAAAATATTTCAGTTATGCCAGTGGCTCTATCCTTCAAGTGTCATCATCCTGAATGTCACATATGTGCTTCTGCCTGTCTTAACTGCCTGCCTGCCTGATTTTCTCATGCAACCTTCCAGCTGGCATTGTACTTCATGGGGCTTCCCTTGGAGTGAGGAGGTAGAAAACCCACAGGTTTGACTTGACATGAATTTTTTAGTTAATAATGTAATCATCATCATCAGTAATCTGTCAAGACGACAGGTCTACAGTCTCTTCCAAAACAATTCCTCCACTTAATGCGATCTAGAGCTTTCTCCTTCAAATCGCAGTATCTTCTTCTGTCCCAAAGGTCATCCAGCATCTTCTTACGTCTTCTTGTCACTTCTATCCGCCCCTCTATCTTTCCTTCAATAACTTCTTTTAGAAGGCAGTTTCTGCATAAAACGTGACCAATCCAATTAGCCTTCAGTTTTCTTATTTCGTGTAGGATATTCCTCTGCTCACTGACTTTAATTAACACTTCTTCATTTCTCACATAATCGGTCCAACTGATCTTCTCCATCCTTCTCCAACACCACATTTCAAAACTTTCCAGATGTTTCTGATCTACTGCCCTAAGTGTCCATGTTTCAGCTCCATACAGAGCTATGCTCCAAATGTAGCATTTCACTAGTTTCTTCCTCAAATTTAAGTCCAGTTTGCTGGTAAAAAGATTCTTCTTCTTGCTAAATGCAGCTTTTGCCATGGATATCCTGGATTTAATTTCATTAGTTCACCTTCCATCATCTGTTTACAAGCTACCCATGTTATACCACCAGTTATACCGTGGTGATGGGGGGCGTGGAGGTATCCCCACTGTCACCTTCTGTACTGCAGTCACACGGGTAGGGCTAAGGAAACGACTGAATAGCTTCCTCTATCGTTGCTTCATTGGCTAGGGGCACACTGTTCACCGGGCTTGGCAGGAGGGCGCAGGTGCGAAATGTGGTAAGGGGGGGAAATCACAACAGAAACCCACATCCTCACCCTATGCTACCCTATATTAGTATAAACACAATCAGTATACAGTTATATATATATTTTGGTACTATCACAATGAAAGAGCCGACTGGTGTCGGGTTACACATTACACCTGTCTACCTCTGCATCACTCAGTTGAATCACTCTTACGCCCCGTACACTTGTTTTAACGTTCCTAACTCAAGTCCCATTGGAGGAGTTATGTAATATCACAATTATTAAGCATGGCGATAAGAGTAGTTTCCACTTACTTTGCGCTGAGACGGCAGACGGGTGGTGCGGCCCGGCGCTTAGTCGGTGCTTCTCCTAGCATAGCCTCCGGCAACAACTGCCCAAATTTACTGTTTGAATCATCCCCTTACTAATTTGGTCCCTGGGTTATATACCTTTATTTATGCTAACTCGTTATTTTCACGGGGGTGCATTTCCGCCTCCAACGAAGTCTTATTCCAAGGTGGGTAATCTCGTTGGCTGAGATCCTAAGGGGACACACCCCCTTCTACTGCTAGACCATTTGGCTAACTCTGTTACCTGCAAACGTCCCCCCCCCCCATCTTGCTCAAGTGTAGCTTCTGCAAAGTTAGCATTTCGAGGTACCTTCAATGTCATTCTGCTGACTGGGCATTCCCGCGTGGCAAACCATTGTCCATCTAAGTCCATATGCAGAAATTCCTTTAAGTTGTTTAACCCTTCTTACATCCACTTTCGTACATCTTACAAGTATTTCCCAAGACTAAATCTATTCCAACCAATATTTTTCCCTAAAATACAAAAAGTTAATACTCTGTTAACATATTACCAGGAGTTGGCCTTCACTGCACAACAACCCAAATATTTAAAACATTTCAATAGCACCTTCCAGTTTCAATTAGTCTATCAATCATGCCCTGTAGCACAGTTTCTTCCTTAGCCATTAACACCAGGTCATCTGCATATTTCACAGTTTGAATAACTTGCCCTCCTAATTTGAAGTCTCCAAGCCCATCCAGAGCTTCCTTGGTAAGGCATTCACTGTACAAGTTGAACAGAATTGGTGATAAACAGCATCCTAGTCGAACTCCTCTTCCAATCTGCACACTTCCTGTCTCCCCTCTGTCCAGTTGTACTCTAACTTTCTGATCCATGTACAATTTGCTAATCAATCTTCTTTCATGCCAATCGATACCTGTTTCTTTCAGGATCTGCATTAATTTGGTCCAGTTTACCCGGTCAAATGCCTTCTGCCAGTCTATGAAGCAAACACACAGTTCTTCATCTATCTCCAAAGTTCGTTCTGCTATAATTCTCAACATCCCAATTGCATCCCTGGTTCCTTTTCCTCTTCTAAATCCAAACTGATCTTCTCCAAGTACATCCTCTATTTTCCTTTCAATTCTTCTTTTAAGTATCTTTGCTATTATCTTTCCTGTATGTGCAGTAAAGCTTATTGTGCAATGGTCGCTGCATTTTGTAGCTTTTGTCTTTTTCTTTAAGGCAATNATTGTGATGTTCTACTGGAGCTGCATCATATATTTCTTTGAAGTAAGATGGTTTATTCTTTTTCTTCAGGCTAATTTTGGAGAATGAAGATACCTGCTTGGAGTTTACCACTTGGTGGGCTCTGCGTGACCCGTTTATGAACTGATTTGCAATGAGACAGATCTGACTGTGTGAACATGCAAAAGCTTCAGTGATGTGTTTTGTAGAGATCTGGGGGGAATGGATCAACCTCTGGTCATCTTCTGTCGCACAAGTGTGTCTTAATGACTGTGGGAATATCACCGCCACAGCATACTTTTGATTTATGAGGTAAGTTGTAGAGCTGCAGTCCCTGTTGTGGGAGTTATATTAGTTGATCTGTGCTTTCACACTTAGTTTTGAACTGTTAAATTTTGGGATTTAAGGAACGTGGTTGTTACGCAGATGTGTTCTTCCTTCTAGGATACTTGGATGCCCGCCTACCTGCCTGTCTTAGTCTGCTTGTGTCTTCCTCCTTGAGCCTGCCTGATTGCATACCTGCCTTTTCCATCCATGCAACTCAGATGACCCAGTATGAGTGTACTCAGTGTCAGTGTGAAGGAAGAAATACCAGGAAGTACATATGTTTGGTACTGAGCTACCAGAAATGCAAGATATAGCTCTGGATGGCAGCGTTACATTCGTATCAGAAGCAGAATGTATACTGTCTACAAAGGCGAAACTCTGGGGGTATCTACCTAAATTCTGTAAGAGAAAATCACATTAATTTAATGTTGAATGTACTAGTGTGCTTGCTTTGCATTTCCTCGTGCAACATGTCAGTTTCAAAAGATTGCATTAGCAAATGCAGTCTGCAAGAGTGCACAAAATTTGTTATAAATTATGGAGATAAAATCAGATAAGGAATTCTCTAGAATATTACTCGCACACTTTCGTTTCACTGCAATTGGAGTATCTGATGCAGTAACTGGAAACCCACTTTGTATGTCTGGATAATGAACCCAATAAAATAATACTAGAAGCTGTTCCTTCTGGACACTATCCATCATATCTTCATCCATTTAATGACAGTTTGCTCAGGCATTCGAGTCATATTAAGATTGTTACCTCAACGATTTGAGTGGTTTAAGTGTTGGTATTACTGAAGAGAGGGATTTCTGCAGTGCTCGGTTGAGACTGCCTCAGGAAGCATGATATACTTACCAAGTTTCATGAAGGCCAGCAAAGGTGTTCAACAATTGTTAGGGGCAATTAACACACACACACACAGGAAGTTGATCCTGTGTCTACTACTGATTTTTAAAAATATGGAGATAGGTCTAAAAGGGAATGGAATGACACACAGATATAGGGCAAAAATATACATAAAAGATATCCTACTGAATAGGAGATACCAGAAATACTTAATTTTATGACACTAAGTGTAACAAACTACTATAAATACATGTTAAGGAAAAGTAGCCAGAAGATTAACATTCAAGCCATAACTGTTGAACATATTTACGTTGTTACATATTTCATTTGCAGCTAAGGTGAAGCGAACAGGATGTTTATCAGGATATTTTATTATAGATTTGCCATTTCTTATTGTACATGTTTATTTTTTAGTCAGAGTCTTCTGGCAGCATTCCAATGAGGATCAGACAAGAATGGCATTGAAGAGGAAGGAGCATTATGATGGAGATCATCCTGCTGCCAAGAGAGCAAGACCGTTGCAGGTGGAAGATACTCAGGAAATGTTTGGATCGCTTGGTAATAACACCAGTGGGGCACATTCAAATTTACCGCTAAATAATAAAAGGGATCATATGGATGACAATGTCCTGTTCTTAGATACTGACAGAGACCTACTGTGGGAGACAGTTGAGTTATATGATTTGAAGATGTAAATACCTAGTTCTGTAAACAGAAACCAATAGTCTGTTATTTTTCTAGAACACTCACATATGTCAAAACTAGTTGGAAGTTGCATGATTAAAAGAAATGTCCCTGCGCTTAATTAGTTAAACACTATGCCGTAAAGACATATGAGGGGAGTGGAGGTATATTTCCACCATTCTTGACCTGAGCACTAGATGGAGGTGAGCGGTCAGCTTCACTCCCCTCCTGCTTTACCCGCATAAGTGGTTTATTACATCAACTTCCACTCTTCAGAGAGATTAAAGAAAAAAACAGGAATATTCAAAGGACCTGGTATGATTGTACTCGGTGTCAGTGTGAAGGAAGAAATAGCAGGCAGTACATACGTTTGGTGTTGAGCTACCAGAAATGCCAGATACACATGTATATAGCTTTTGCTGGCAGCGTTACATTCGTATCAGAAGCAGAATGTATATCGCCTACAAAGGTGATTTACCCAAATTGTTTAAGAGCAAATTACATGAATGTAATGTTACGATAGCATTAGGAGTGCACAAGTGCGCTTGCTTTGAATTTCCTCATCTAACATGTCAGTTTCAAAACATGGTGCATTAAGAAATGCAGTCTGCAACAGTGCACAAAATTTGTGGTAAATTAAGAAGATAAAATCAGATATGGAATAATCGGAAGTATTACTCACACACTCTTTCCCTTCACTAGAGTTTGAGTATCTGATCTGGAAACCCACTTAGTATGTATGGATAATGAAACCAATAAAATAACAGTAGAAACTGGGCTTTGTGATAACTATCCATCGTAGTGTTTTTTTTTTATTTAAAACAATATTTTGGATACTGGAATCTGCCTCAATCCTCAGATAGGCCTAAATCTAACCCCTATGTGGGAGGAGGACTGAGGAAGAGTCTAGTCTCTGAAACTGTGTTTTAAATAAAATAATTATGGCAGCATGCAGTCTCTGATCCACTGCTGTAAAAGAAAACCAGGACAATGGATAATGTCCAAAGTATTAATAACTGTGTTAATACACCATAGTCACAAACTTTATAGTTCTATTTTTGCTCTCAGAATCAGGTTATTTTATTGCAAATCTGCCATTTCTTATATATTTTTTTTTGTTTCAGGCAGAACCTTCTTTCAGGAGTGCCCAGAAGATGCTGACAACGATGATATTTTGATTTTAGATTATGAAGACCTTGTGAAAGAAATGGACGACTGTTTAGTGATTTATACATGTAGTTTTCTAATTATATGTATAAGGAATGTATTCTGATTATTTTGTAATTTTCTAATTATATAAGGAATGTATTTTTACTATTTTAAATTAATAAATCTGTAGTTATGTAAACAGAAACCAAGCGTTCATTATTTTTTTAGAACACTCAGATGTGTCAGTTGCATGACTTAAGAAAAATGTTGTCCATATGCTTAATCAGTTAAGCACTATGCCACAGAACCATACAGGGGCATGGAGGTGAGTGGTCACCTTCACTCCCCTCCTGATTTATCCCCAGTGCAGACTGGACAGGAGGCCAAGATGGGGGCTTTGCAAACTGTTGCTTATCAGAATGAGAATTGTTACATACACAGAACCACTTTGTTGCATTGGGAGCATTGAATTGAATTGAATTGAATTTATTTACATTCTATAAATCC